ATAGACGTGAGCGTGTTTTGGCTTCCCGGGATTTCCCGTCGACTCAGAGTACCCCCTCCTCTCTCTTTTCTCGCTCATCATGTTTTCGGTTCCCTCCCCCAGTCTGGGATTTTTTTCTTTCCCCGATCTTAGCATCTGCTTGAGAGCAGCCCGGCAGCAGCAGCAGCTCCCGGCTGCAGAGCGGTGAAGGGACGGGGGCAAACTGGGCAGCTGCAAACGGGCGCAGCGTCCGCCGCAGCGGTTGAGGGAGCTGCTGAGGAAATAGATCCCTGTTTTGTTCAGCACCGCTAGCGAAAAGCCTCGAGCTCAGGACAATTTAGATCCTATCGGCCGCTATTGACGGCGAGGCTAGACTCTCAGACAGCAGCAGCCCCCGAAGAAAAAGCCCATTGTTGCCTCACCACTTTTGCCTATATGCTTGGCTTGCCTTTTTCCACTTCTTGTGATTGATTTATTTCAGGACAAAAGAGGGTGGAGTGGGGCGGGGGCGGCGGCGGGGGGGATGAGATCTTGCCGCTCACCCAGTAAGCAGTCAGGTGTCCTGCAAGGGGCTTCTTTGTGGCGGAGCTCGGGGGACTGCTACGGATCGGGTGTCACGGGGATTTTTTTTACCCCCCCCCCCCCATACACACACACACCTCCCGCGCCTCTTCTCTTCCCAGTCGGGAGAAAGTGCCGAGCACGGATTTCAAGGCAAAAGGCTTTCCAGCCAGAGCGCCTCTAGACACGCAGTTAACCCTCTCCGCTGGATTCCATTTGCTCTTGACTCCCTTCCTTGCCAAGTCCCCCACACCGTAGTTACCTGCTCGGTCACCTGCCTCCTGAGGTTATGCGCAAAAGCCAGCTTTCTCTTCCCATTCTCTCTCCCCCCGCCGCCCCTAAGTGTACACTCCACAGATCTGAGGGCTTTTGTGCGGCTAGCGGGACTTTGGGATGCTGTTAGGGGCGACGGGTTTATTATTATCCCCTTATCACATGTACAAGGGAGGATTCCTAAAATGATAACAAGGGTGTGGTATTGTTGGAAGCCGCGCAGCGTTGGGCTTTTTTTTGTTTTTTTTTTTAATGCACTGTTGTCTGCTATGTCCCCACAGAAACAGGTGATCCGGAATATAACTTAGCACGTTTGACAGAGTTATGAGTAGACAAGCAATTTGCAAATACTTTTAATTCCACTGATCTGACAAAACGCCCGAGCACGGATCTGCATCCCTCGAGGGCAATGGTAGCTATTTACTACGGCAGAGCACATTCCAAACACGAAGGGCCCTTCTGTCTTCTCTAGTCAGGGCGACCTATGGGGAGGGGGCGGGAGGTGGCGCTATCATA